AATTTCTTTCTTAATATATATTACCTTTGCATTATATCCTATGTATCTTTGGATGCTCTGAGGCTAATCATTGGAGTACAATACTATCCTATTTCAATCAACTGTCTATGCTACACTTTACTCATAGTCACAGCATAGACATCTGTGGCCTCTGTTACATGTTCAGGCCTAGATTATCATCAAAACAGCCTTAAAGGGCAATTTTTGTCAGGTTTTAGGTCAGGCTATGCAAGGCTCTGTCAGGGATAAGACCCGGCCCGTCTACTCCGACGCTGGTGTCAGGCCACCGTGGACCCATAACATGCGGCACGTGACAATAGGGAACAGGCGTCCCAGTAGGAGGAATGCACACGTGGGAAGCACGTGACCGAGAACGACATGTCGAGCCATTGCCAAGCCCAACTCAACACCAGGGGACTGGGGAGGAGTGCTAGGAGGTTAGGAGTAGTGCCTGGCCCTAGGCAACTGCACGGGTAGGCCAAACCCCGGGCGGGTATGCGGGTTTTACCCGGGCGGGTACGGGTACGGGTCAGCGAACAGGATACCCATGGCTTTCTGACTCAGCTGGCTCTGCTCCTGGACATTGTTGCGGAGGTCCCTGGTTTGACTCTTGCTATAATATGGGCTTTTTTATCACATATTACAGCTTTGACTCACCTTGGACCTTTGACACATGTTCATCTGTGACCGGTGACCCATGGGTAAACCCATACCCGTACCCGCAGGTACGGGTACGGTGGCTGTGCGGGTACGGGTATGAGTAATGCCTCGGATACCCATGGGTTTACCCGTGCAGTTGCCTACCTGGCCCGCAAGGGATGTACGATCGTCCCCTCTGCAGCCAGGAACAGGGCGAGGAGGAGCAGAAGAGGCCAGGGTGTCCGATCACCCCTTTGCGGGCCTGCATATATAATGCGCGATAGCGTACCATGTACTCTATCGCTTAGATCGTCTAAAGAACTACTTCTCTCTGTACAAGGAGGAACCACCGACTCATCGGGCCCAACACGACCCGATTCGAACCCTCGACTACCGACAGCAACAAAGGACTGAGTTAACAGGCCCTTTCGGTTTCGATCTACCCTGCTCGCCATACTCGTGGGCCTGACGATCCATCTGTTCTGTTCCGGGCGCGCATTCTTAGGAGAAGTCCTTGCACGGCCCGACCTGCAGTCTGACAGAACGACTCCGATCCTTTTCTCTCTTCTCTTGTCCTTCAACCGGATTTCACTCCGCTCGCAGGCATTGCTCCACTCCGACTCCGCTCCGGTCTGGTTGGTCTTGTGTTCATTTGTGTCAGGCAGCTACTGACTTGTTAGCTATAGTAGAAACCCCCTCTGTTCTGTATAGCACTTGACAAGGGCGCCAACTATATACTGGTCATCCATAACTGCGAACGTAGAGCGCAGAAGGCCTGAGCAGCATCACAGGTGTGACGGTTCGGGTCGGGCCGTCGGGCCCTATACGGCCCGACGGGCCCTCACCACCCTTAGAGCCCTAGGGCTTGACAAGCCCTCATATATTCACAAGCTCAAAGCACTGAGCAACAACACTAATATCCCAGAGAAGGGACATAATCACGGATCACGCTTTAGTCAGCCATCAAGCCATCATGACCCGCCATCAGGGATCATGATGCGCCGCCGGACGCCCTTGACAGCGGGCCCAATCGGCCCCAGACAACCACAGGGATCAGGAGGGAGCTCCTCACTGTTGCATTGCCAAACACTCCTTAGTGTCGACTTTGGCATGGCTCCTTTCCAGAGGAATGGTCCCTGGGCTCCTAGCGGAGCGACCAGGGACGACCAGAGACATCCCCTGCTCCATTCTGATCGACCCTCAGCGGGCCCGATCGGCCCCTAGCGCCCACAGTATATAAAGACTACAGTATTACTCCTGTACCTTAGGTTTAGCATTGAAGTCTCTTCCTTTGAACCCTACTCCGGCCTGGTCCCCTAGAGCGGGGTTGCTGCAACCATACCCCCGGGAAAGGGGCGTCTAGACGACTTCCAACACCCAGGCTAGCTTGCCTCATTGACCTGAGCCCTTGGTTGGGCTGGGCAGCTCAGGCTCTTGTCTCTTATGTTCACCCTTGTCCTAGCCGCTTCTTCTTGCTCTCTGGCCTCAAGCTCTGGGTTCCCCTGGTACGGGCGATGGGAGGGTGCGGGCCCGATCGGGCCCGCATGTCACGCGTCACACCGCGCAGTCACGCGGTGTCTAGGAGCCACAGCGACTCGTTTCTCCAGGAAAGGAGATATGTCGCCCCTTGGACTGGCAACCCTTCTCAAGCGCTCCAGGGGTCTCGGGCCCGCAGCCCCTGCTGCGGGGCGACTCCCCTCGACCCCCCGAACCGTCGGGCGTGACCGCGTTACGTCACGCCCCGCCCGAACAGCTTGTTCAACTGGCTGAGCCTGTGCTTCCCTATGCCTTGAGCACCAACTCTACTAGACAGCACTCTTTGGCTATGGACTCGTTCCCTTCAAGCGGGGTAGGACACTCTAGGCGACTACTCGTATCCCGTGACACCGCTGTCACACAACGTGACAGCGGGGGCGTCTCGAGTCGCCCCGAGTTGTCCCGACCCTGCTCTCTATTGCAGCGGTGGCACCCATCTACGCTGCCTGGTTGCCAACCACCCAGCTATGGGGGTTGAACCATCTTTCCCACACTTGTCAGACTGGCAGGAGATCGTCACGTGGGCCCGGGCCGGCCCCGTTCCTGACAACAGGCTCTGTTCCAAGATGATCATTGAGAGGGTCTTGACGGATTGGCGATTGTGCAGGCAAAGGAGGCTGAGGCCGAGGGCTGGGGTGGGTCATAGCATCCAAGAGGGCATCAGTCGGATGCGCCTTGGATGTGCTCGGACAGTCTGAAGGAGGCCGAACTAGGGGTTCCCCTGACACTCAGTGGCCTGACACCAGCGCTGGACAAGCCGGATCTTATCTATGACAGTATTAGTGCTTCTGCCCAGATTTTACACTTCTCCACCAGGACTCTGAATCCAAGCCAGAGGAAAACATAACTATCTACCTAAGGGGAAAATGACTCTTTACCTGGGTGACAACATCACAATCTAACTGGGGGAAAACAACTATTTACCTGGGGGAAACATAATGATCTACCTAGGGTGTGAGCAACTATATACCTGGGGGGAAACAACTGCCTACCTGGGAGGGATAATAACTATCTACCTGGGGAGAATTAACCATCTACCCTAGGGGAAAACAATATAATATACCTGAGAGTAACTAGATGATTTACCTAGATAAAAGATGAGAAGTTTTATCCATTGTGATATTGTCAACAGTCTTTGAGACACTATGCAACCCAGGACTATAAATTAGAAGTAGAACTGATAATGCTGGATACACAAAAATATATTAATAGACCAAAGAAGAATAATTTGAATCTAGCACACAATCAAAGCTCAGCAGAAGGTAACCACCACTAGCCCAAGAAGCAGAATAATTATATCAACCATATAGATATATAGTGGTCATATTTTAATTTTTATGGCTGCCAAGATAGTCTCAGAATAATTCATCTGTTTCCTACAGTACAATTAAACCAATACTCACACTAATTTAATTTAATTACAGTTTTGACTATTTTTTCCCAAATTATCAAAGCAATTTTCTCTCTGTTGATTCAAGAAAGAATTATATATATATATTATATTATGGAACATAGATATAATAGTTTGACGGCATTCCTGTTTTTAGCCAGCAAGGGCAGTGAGTTGTAGACACCTGTGGGAAACTACACAAATGCACTATGCATTGTATTGAATGTGCCCTGAGGTTGTTCCATATTCTCCCAGGGATGTATGTCTTAACCCCCTGGGCATTTATTCTCCCAAGGTAGTGATACCCTTCCACCTATGCATATTTTAACTACCCCCCATGCAAAACCCCAATCTGCCTCCGTGCAAATCTCATATTTCACCCTGTGCATACCATGGTGTGTACATGCGACATGTCCCATGTCTCATGTCCCATCACCAGATCAAGCGACGGTCTCGTTCTTGCAGTCGAATCCTGCGACAAGATAGTCAGTACTGAAGCGGAATGTATATTAACTTGCCTACCGGGAGCGGGGTTGTTGCAGTCGGGAGCGTCCATGGAGCGGACAGCGCGTCGCAGGGAACCTTCGTAGTTGACATGGTCAGGGAAGAAGGAGGGTACAAGGTCTTGCAAATGTCATAGGCGAACCTCTCCTGCGACGACACTCGATCCATTCCCGACAAAAGCTCCTTCGATTCTTCAGTGAGTGATAAGAATATCCAGGTCCCAATCTTCGGCATGAACGCCATAACTCGGTTCAAATCTTTGCGCAAACTTGGCTCCATTGATTCTCCTCCATAAACAACGAGCTTTCCGGAGTCATCTTTAAGCATGAATAGACTGCCATTATCGTCTATTCCTGTCGGGGTTTTGTCTGATGGTGCAAATCGACTCCAGTGGAAAGCACGACCAACGTTCCACTCAGGAACACTAGGGATCACAATCCTAGTCGCAATACTACTGGAAATGGTAGCAGCGGAGTTCGCATAAAAATCCACTAGTTCATCCGGCCAAAATATCCCAAGGTCCGGCCTCTTCGTGCAAGGCAAAGAAAAGGCAACGCTCGGGAGTATGTCATGAGAGCGAGGAGCAAGTTGTGCTATTCGAGATTCCAGTTGCACTTGTGCCAGGTTAGATATGCTACTGATCAGAGAGGCCAATGGCATCACACGTTGCAGAATGAGCTTCGGGTCAATATGCTTGGGTGTACATAGTGTGTGCAGGTGTACAAGGGGGTAACGGAGGGTTTGCGTCATCGGATCGCGCCAGGAAGGATGGGTTCCATGCAAAAACAGTGTCTAAGTCCTTCCGGAGCCTGACTGCTATGTTTTTCGCTCAAGTTGTCCGACATAAAAAGAGGAAAAGAGGCAATGGTTGACGTAAGTCACGTGCGCTGCCCGGCCATCAAAGGATCGAATTCTAGACCTGGACTACATTTCACTCATTCTCGAGCACTCGAACGAGCAGATCCACGACTGCTCCAAATCCCCCCGTCCCGATGAGCCACATCACGAAACTGACATTGACTTTCGGGTCCATCTCACCCGTTCGCAACAGTGGGTCCTGCATTATCGGCAATGTCAGCACGAACCACGCAACCACGCAAGCTGTTCCAAGGGCTCGGCACCATGCCGGGGATGGTGAAATGTGTCGAAAATAGAGCGAAACAAGCGTTTCAGAACCAATGGCAAGTGGCTGGAGGGAGAAGAACAGAAGAGACCCGCCGCCAGGACCATAACTAACACGTTTGAGAGGGACGCGCTCGCCGAGTTGATGAACGAGTCCCGAGAGGAAAAAGGCAGTGGAGATAACTATGCAACGAGTTGAGAGGGAGCAGGGAGGGAGTTTCAGCACGGAATTGGCCAGGTACCGTCCGTGAGTGGTAAGGGACTGTAATTGTTGGATGAACAGAGGATCTGGAAAATTGATTCTGCATACCCGGCGGATATATTGATGTCAGCCTCGTCTGGCGAATATGTTATGTGAGTGAAATAGTAACAAGAACGAAGAGGCAGACTCACGGCCAAAATGTCCGCACACTTGTCAAATCTTCAGGCATGCCGAATAATGGCGGCCAGTCCCGTGCCAGTGGTCGAGATGTATCGAAACCAACAGCAGTGATGGTGAGCATTAGATGAGGGATTGACAAGACACTCATGGTAAGAGCTGCCTAGCAAGTGGTCCCGGTGAGACGCTATAGCCAGCCTGCGTTCACTAGCCCTAATCTTGCGCAAAACACCGGATTTAAGTGCTGGTGGGCATTGGCGATGTCCAGAGTCAGGAAGATGAACAGTCGCAGGAAGGTTCGTCTCACGAGGAAGGTGGATTTGGGAACATCTGGGAGCTGTGGTCGCAAGTGTCGAGGTTGATGGACCCAACCAACGCCTAAGGCTCCAACTAATTACTATCCATATACACTCCAAGGCTGTATTGTATTGGGATATGGATAGTATTGAGTTATAACCCAATATATTGAGTATATAGTAGATAATATATTGTTATAAAATATTATTTTATATATCACAATCATGATAGTTATTAACTATCTAGTATAGTTCTGTCATATGCTAGGGACCATAATAACATCTTAGTTACAGGTCCTGAAAGTCTTAGAGCTGCAAAAAGATGACATTGAGGTTAACCAAGGCTTTTAATAGTCAAATATAATAGTAAAACAGCACAGATATCAGATCAAGAGGAAACTGGGTAATGAGATAAATGTTGCGTTGATAGTTAACTATAAAACTCTCTTCTTATTATAATACTTACAGTCTTTTGATTATGATAAATTCAAATTTCTATTGACAAAAATATAACTGAAAATTTAATATAATAATGAGGTTGTTTAGATGGGTCAGTTTGTGGGTCAGTTAGAAGCTGTGGTTAACGTAGCACCTGAACTTTTAGTATCAGATATAGTCCCAAAAAGTATGATAACAAAGACTCAGAAAATACCTTATCTGGAAGAAGTTGACTTGATAACACTTACAGATACTGTCTATATAGGCCTCTGAGAAAACTCAATAGTATAGAGTATCTATACAGTATATACTCTATACTACAAAAATTTTGCCACCCTGTATATATATATGGATTGTATTGGGTTATAACTCAATATATTGAGTATTGTATTGTATTTGGTTGGAGCCTTACCAACGCCTTTGCCGCTTGTAAAGAGTAGGTCTATGCCCAAACGAAGCGTTGCCGGAGTGTCTGTTGATCCAGAAAGCCACTGCGGCAGTCCCTTGTTTCGATGTGCCCTCCTCCTTGGGATACAATTCTCACTCGAGTTGCACATCGGCGAGGAGGAGAAGGTCCGATGCCATCAGAAGACATGCAAACCATGTTGTGTTGGTTGTGTATCCCAACTCGCCATCGTACTGGACTTTTGCAGTGAGAAGGAGAATGGAAAAGAAGAAAAGACGATGATGGCGGCGACCAGCGATTGGGACGAGAGGAATAAGGGTAAAGGTGAAGAAAAGGGCGAAGTAGGCAAAGGGTGTCCATGAAAAAATGGCCGCCATCGTTGCGTGGAGCTAGTAGGCCAATGAAGCTTACGTCTTGAAGCCATCCTTCTCGCTCCTTGAGAACGCTATCCAGCCCTATAAGCTTTTTTCGAGCGAGGTTTGTGCAGATGAGTAACATGGTGGTCAAGAGAAGGTTTGACAAATACTAGTATGAATTATTGATGCTAGCATCTTTAATCAGGGCTAAATGTATGCCGATGTGAAGCTTGAGATACTAAACCAGGGTCTTTGCATGTAGTGATGTTGAACATTGGAGAGATGAAGATGGCCCGATGGCGAACGCAAACTCGTTCGTGGTCACCACACAGGCTAGAATGTCGTCTAAGTCTTCTCTTGGCTCAGACGACGGGAGTTCCGAGTCGGCCAGTGCCTCTAGCCAGGATGACTCGCCCTTGCGTGGGTGCGCACGATCATGACCGTAAGCAAAAAAAAAAAAATGACCAATAGCATTACATGATATTCACCGAACAAGAAACATCTCCAATTACATATCATCATCTTCCTCACTCTTTTCGCTGTCCATTTCCAAATCCTCTCCCAATCCTTCGCTTTCCGAGTGTGCAGAGACGGGCGTCGGAAACCAAACTTCTTCCCTGTCTCCTGGCATTTGAGGACTCGGTATGGAGAAATCATGGTGGATGCCGTCCATGAGCCTTTGCAGGATTCCCATCTCCCAGTTTTTCTTCCCTTCGCTCCGGATTCAAACGCGCACGGTCAAAATCGACTATGAATGCCTCCCCAGCGGAGTCAATCATGAGATTTTCGGCCCGGATGTCATAGTGACGGACTCCAGCACGATGTACGTTTCCAAGAATCTCGGTGAAGCGCTTCCTAGCGAAAGGGATCAGACAGGAGTTGACCACTAAATCTCATCTACACACCGCTGGGCTGGAGTAACAAATGTTCGTGTCTTGGTTTTGTCTGGACGTGAATCGTACAAGGTTTGCCCACAGTTATTCATGACGAGTGCGATAGCTCCTCCTTCGAGGTCCTCAAATAGCCCGTAGACGCGGGGGACACCAGTGACACCATGTTCCATCAGATGTTTGTAAACTTCGTATTCGTGTCGCATTCGCCGTTGAGGCTGCTTTCTGAATGCCAATTTGACGACGAGATTCTCCTCGATAAGCGTTTTTCCGTCTTTAGTTGCCAGACGAGCTGTTGCTCCGTGAACTATTCCGGTTGCACCTCTGCCGATCTGGCTTGTGATGATGACCTCGAAACATTCATGTATCTCATAAGAGCGTTTAATTGGTGGAACGTATCCTGCTTTGCGCACGGTCATGGTCTTGTGGGTAAGACACGGTGTTGCTCGAATAAACGAGGCTGGCGCTGGAGAATGGTAAATATCATACTGCATGTGCAGTAACATCATGTCACGCTGGCTGGCAAGCTCCATCGGCCGCTATGCTGAGAATTAGTTATGGGGTGCATTAGTAAGGGATATGTCACCTGTGATGATAACTTCTCCAAGTTTCGCTTCAAGCGTTTGGTGGGTGGCAAAGATGGGGTAATATCCTCAGTATTCGGACGTTTCCGACTGCTTCGACGAGGCTCTGTTTGCTGGCGCGTGGCTTTAGCTCGAGCAATGGCGTCGTAAATCTGTGCAAGGTATAAGCCCACATGGAGCTTGATGTATCCTGGATTTTCGCACTTGGTGATATCGTACAGTTCCGAAATGTAAAGCGTCTGCGTTTCTCGGTGGCGGACGGCGATTCGCTCATGATTGCCGCAGTTGAATACTATCATGGTCGAGTCCGTCTCGACTGCTTTGGCCCATGCCTGACATGCAATGTCAATAACCTTCGATCAGCGAAAGAGAAATGCATACAAGCTGGACGAGGGAGTCTGGAGTGAGAGATGTTGAACTATGAGCAGTTACTTCCAAACGGCGACGGGCTGATGGAATGACTAATGGGGGATATTTTTCTCAAGCCATTCTGGATGCAGCAACCGTTGTCGCTCGAAGAACACGGTCAACGTTCGAATGCTTGAATAGGATGTCATCATTAAGAAAGAGCACACGGGACTGCTTACAGAAATTGGAGCGTTGGTGGTCGGAAGTGTCCATGGATTAGATGGTGCGTCATGGGGTATCGTTCTTGATAGTATGCCGATAGAAGCAGGATATATGGTTTTGCAAGCACTGTATTCGAAAGTCTCCCGCAACGAAAGCCCACCCATACCCGCTAATAGCTCTTGTGACTCTTCTGTGAGTGACAAGAATACCCAAGTGCCAATCTTCAGGGTGAACGCTATGACTTGTTCTAAATCTTCGCGCAACTTTGGCTTCATTGTTTCCGAATGATCGCCAAAGAGACGGAGCTTTCCGGACTCGTCCTGAAGAAAGAAGATACAGCTATTGTCATCCATTCCATTCGGAGTTTTGTCTGCGGGAGCCCATCGAGCCCACTCAAAGGCATTGTCCCAATTGGACGTTTGGGGGAGCATGATTTTGGTCGCAAGGCCGCCGCATATCGGAGCAAGAGACTTCGAATAGAGTTCGGCTAGCTCTTCTGGGGTGAGTATCTCCATATCTGGCCTATCCTCGCGAAACTCCGTGAATGCCTCGCTTGGGAGAACGGAGTCCAGAGGAAGTCGCGCTATTATGCATTCCAATTGTGCTTGGGCCATATTAGACAGATCGTTGACCAAGGAGCCGAATGGCATCACACGCCGCAAAATCAGCTTTTCGTAGATATGTTTGTTGTAGAAGGCCTGCGGAGGCGTGCCAGGGGGTAATGGAGGTTCTGCATCAGCGGCCCGCTCTAAAAAGGGTGGGTTCCACGAGAGGACAGTGTTCAAGTCGTTCTGAAGCTTGAGCACTGCGTTTTCGCTCAAGTTATTCGACATGAAGCTGAAGATGGTTGGTTGATCTATGTCACGTGGCACTCATTGACGTCACATTGCGAGTCTCTTTAAGATTCGAATGAAGGTCTTCGTTGCAGACCACGAAGCAATGGCTCTTACAAAATCTGCGCCGTGTAATGACAACAACAACTTCTTCCCCTGATGGTAACCACTGGCAACTACAAACCATTTCTTAATTCTCATGGACCCACAAAATTTCATTGGCCCGCAAACTTGCGATATACATGTCTAATGTCGTTTAAAACAGTTGTTGGTGGACGGGTTTGATGAAAAGCTTTTGAGGTAGTTGCTAACTAAGAACAATAGCTCTCTATTGTGTATCTCCGACTCGTCGCTGAAAATGCAGCTTGTCTATTGATGACATTGGCGCCTGGTGCCCATGGGTCCGCACTGGCATGAGGCTGATTATTACTACTATTGGCTGACCGCATTCAGTTCTCATGGACCTACAGCATCACTGACAGACGAGTATCTCGAGGTTGTCGAGCTAGCTTTCTTCTGTGTTTTGGTGCCGGCACCTTCTGTTCTTCGACCGAGTATATGAAAAGATTGTCCAAACGGTACTCTGTTTGGCCGTTGCGCAATGCGTCGTATCCTCAGGGCACATGCGGTACTATGCTTTTTGTACTTTTGGATCCACTCAACATCGTTGTCCAGGTCATGGTGGCAAGGAGACGAGTGATCTCACCTCAACAATAACTGGAACTGGTATCCTTGTCTGCTGTGTCCTATAAGAAGTCTCGCAAGTCGTTGAAGAACGCATATCACATCGCCCCGCAGCGCAGAAATGGTTCAGCCAAAACAAGCCCACGATAACTTGGATGTAAAATCGACCCCGATGTGGAATGCATTGCACGACTTCCTTTGTGCTCCCGCCCTAACATTAAAGCCAGATCCAAGACACGGGAAAGGGTCCACAACTCGGCCGCCTGCTCAATGGGACTTGCATCTTCATACCGACCTACGATTGAACCGCGTTAGATTTTTGCCAGATTTGGCTCTAGGCAACTACATGGGTAAACCCAATCTGAGGCATTACTCATACCCGTACCCGCACAGCCACCGTACCCGCGGGTACGGGTATGGGTTTACCCATGGGTCACCGGTCACAGATGAACATGTGTCAAAGGTCCAAGGTGAGTCAAAGCCGTAATATGTGATAAAAAAGCACACATTATAGCCAGGGTCGAACCGAGGACTTCCGCAACAATATCCAGGAGCACAGCCAGCTGAGTCAGAAATCCACGGGTATCCTGTTCGCTGACCCGTACCCGTACCCGCCCGGGTAAACCCGCGTACCCGCGCGGGTTTGGCCTACCCGTGCAGTTGCCTATTTGGCTCCGGCGCTTGCTGGACTTGCCTAGAAGCGTCTGTCTTCCATACCAGGGCAGGCGTTCTGGGAGGCAACACACATCCCCTCATTCTTGGGTGAAGCACTCCGCGAGAAACTACACTCAAGATTTATTGCTTCAACCCCCATCGAATCAGAAGCGGAATTGGCAGCGTACTACATGGCAACCATTGCTTCCTGGTGTATTCGAATGGCGACAACTCTGGAGCTGAATGTTCCATTGGATATTTCTCTAGCATCCAGTGTCCTGCAATGTACAACTCGACCTGGTGATCGGTCAGTTCATGCTCTGGGTGATAGGTACCTCAGAATCGTGCCACAAACCCCCAAGTCAATGTCTAATATTTCACCCCAACTATCAAAACAGTTACAGTCTGTTCAAGAACACTTCCCCAACATTGGTGTGTGGGAGTTCAAAAGCTTGAAAGTCGCGGAACACATTCCAGCAAACGCAATCTTGGCGCTGGCCGCCCTTGATCATTTCCCTTGGCAATCGTGTGTCGAAAATAGAACTTACTGCATGCTGGAGCACTTTCGCATAGCAAACAAACCGCAAAGTAAGCAGTCCGGACGGCTGACCAGTGGACAAAGAAGAGGGCCTGACGTACCACCTGCCGAGCTTTCTAGTATATGCGACATCAATCTTGATAAAGCAGCGGAATTGGAAGTAGGTTCTCTGCCTTGGAACCAATATGATCCAGGTGTTCGGGTCGATGCCGCCAATATTGTGTAGCAGGTAATGTTTGAAACCAATTTCGACTGTTTGACCTCAAACTTCATAGACATGGAGTGAAATGGTTCAACAAGACTGTACTTTTAGCGTCATCTACGCAGGGACACACGAGATCATCTGCTTCTGTCATCGTGATACACAAACACTATATTTGTCAAAGGTTATAGAACCTTGCAAGCAAGGATATTTTGCGATCGAAATCGGGTTATACATGGCGATGATGCGCGAGGCTCAACGACGCCGAGTTCATCTGAATACGCAGTCGATAGCCTGGACATGAACGTACGACCTGCAAACCCATTTACCGACAATTAAACAAGAGGGAACCGAAACAAAGAGATTAGCAAAAGCTTCGAAAAGCTCCGGGCCCTCGCGAAAGAGGTCGCCGGGTCTAGTCACACGACAAAAGGTTGGTTGATATTTCCAAGATGCGCTTTGTACTGATTGTCACCGGAAACAGATTTCTTTCTTGAAACAGGGGCGGATAGAGCAAGCAGCATGGGTTTTCCGACATTTCTCGGGCTTTGGTGGTCAGAAAAAAAGGACAAACTGGGTCAATATCAGTCCACTGCGCTCTTCATTGTATTGGTAGTCTCATTCCGCTTTACAGGAATAAATTCCGGACAGTTCTGGCAACAGCACATCAGCGGGGTTATCTCCACAACAGTCTGAAGGCAGAACACTTACTATTCGACAACGTTACAAACACAGCAGTCATCTGTGGATGGCAGTTTTCTACGCGTTGGGAAGAGCTAGGTGCGGGCAAAAAAATAGTCCAAGCAAAGAAGGATGAGATGGATCATTTAAATGCGCTCTTAACCTCTGAAGCCCATCCCTCGCCACGCACAGCAAGATGAAACAAGGTTCTCTTCGGGCCTATCGGTGGGAGTAAAAAAAGGAAAGGGAGGAAATCAGCAATTCAAAGCCTCAAGCAACTCGTTGGAAGACTCGCGGGTATGCCTGAATTCTGTAATGAAAGGGATGGCATCAAATGCGGTTGGAGTGAAGAGAGCGCAACCAAGGAGCACGTACGCATTCAATATCCAACAGAAGAGATGGCGAGGGAGTTTATCGGGAAGTGGACTGTGTGGGCTATAGCTCAGTCCTCCCCAGAGACCGCCCGTTTGGAGTAAGAGTAGCATAATAGTTCTTGCCACTTGTTCATATGTATACCCTCAAGATACCGATTTCTAGAAAATTTTCAGGACCGACGTTCTTGGTCTCGGACAAACTCGCTTGCCGTATTCCGGGAGGAGAAGAGAAGCTTGTCTCCCGACTCGGAGTCAGACTGTAAAAATCAGCCTATGAGGGTTGGACAGGGTTGGACGGCTGATAAAGAGGAGCCTGAGTTGTATCAACACGTTGCGGTAAGGGGCCTTAAAAAAACGATTGCTTGTGAGTTTCATGCAGAGAGTTTTCTACCATACAGGTCCGATTACTAGTAATCCAGTCAGGCTGGAACCAGTGGTCGTGGGGAATGAGCCCAAATTCGAGGAGAGTTTCGGTAGGAGAGGACAGAGATCGCTTGAATTCTTCTGGGAAGGGCTCTTCATTGAGGAAGACGTACCAGGGATGATCAACGCGGTGGTTGCAAGTTGAAACTTCCAGTCTTCCAAGTTCCACCACTCGTTCTGCGGTAAAAAGAGGCTTCCCAGGGTCATCTTGGAGCCCAGAGAATTGTGGTGAGCCCCACCGCAAACCACAGTTCCATCGTGGCACGCTCGGATGATTGCGTTGAACAGTTCGTCGTGGGCACTGGCAAGGCTCTGTGCACGATTACTTATGTAATCATGATGACGATGATGATCGTTGCAAATTATTCGCAAAGCGGCAAATCGGATATTAACCTGAGCGTAGGATCGAGCAGTGTAGGGTGAGGAGGCATGCCACTGCAGTCAAAGTATTTGCGTTGGACAGCTACTATCTAATCTCTTGGAAATTTGAAGGTGCGTGACATCCGTGACACGGTAAAATTGCTCTTCTCGCAAAATGGGTCGTCTACGACGGTCAAGAGCACACCACGCCCGCCGTGATGTTCATCGAGCAGCCCGTACGCGTGTAAGAGTACCTTTTCTAGCCATTTGCGTCTCTCATCTTTGGTACTAGGCTCGTGCTCGAGACATCGACCAAATCCAATTAGAAGACCTCGATCCTGAGGTTCGTGGCTTTGGTCACTCAGAACGTTGCTGATAACATAACATATCTTTCAGAGACGTGCGGAACTGGAGGCACAACCTTTAGACCACGAGTTACCGGGTCTTGGTCAACACTATTGTGTAGAATGCGCGAAGTCCGTCGTTTTCACAAAACTAACGAAAGTGAGAGCTCATTCATACGGCAGATATTATGAGACAGACGATGCTCTTAAATCTCACTGGCGCAGCAAAGTCCACAAGCGACGGTGTAAACAACTCAAGGAAAAGCCCTATACAATCGAAGAGGCCGAACTTGCTGGAGGACTAGGTCGCGAGCAAAGAAAACCGAGGGTGCCAATTATGGAGACATGACGCTGTGTGTTTCTTCGTTTCTTGTTTCCATTCCGACCATCTATTGGCGCTCCTTTTTTCCTCCCTTCGGAAAACTGCCCGTAAAAAACATTAGCTGATCAATTGCACTAGCAAAAAAATAACTGTGCCTTTGCTCAGCCGCTATGTGGTGAGTCTTGCCTTTTCGATTCCCCGCATGTTCAAGCGAGTGGCAGACGACCTTAATAACGACTTCCGAGACGTGTAATCAACCCTATCTGCAGCTTCCGTATTTATTGCGGGAGCGGATTTTGACAAGCCGTATTGGCAGTTCCTCCCTCTTTTTCCCTGCTATGGTCGCTCGTTTTTCTCTCACTAGAAGGGAGGTCTTTTTACTCCTTCTTGGCGCATTTGTGGTGCATCTCCTTCCCTTTCAACTTCCTGCCCGGCAGCAAATCGTTGTCGAGACCGTTTGCGAGCACCCCTCCGACCAACAACACTCTGGGGACAAATTGATCTATCAGACACAAACTACCACTATAATCCAGCCAACAACAACGACTGTCATTTCTCAACCGACTCCAACGACGACCTCACTCGACAAAGTTACCGAATTTCCCGAAACCTCGATTTTGAGCCACTTCCCTGGTTGGACCCGTGCGTCGTCAGCATTCGTTTTGTTCGTGCTTAATATGTCTATTATAGTGTTCGAAAACGTCTACATTTCTAATGATACTTTCTTCATCGTCACCGACCAGTCGTCATCGGACTTGCCTCCTATTTCAGCCATGATCAGTGTCCCGCTTGAGGCAACGAGCGCGGCCGAAAATGTTGCTGCAAGGATGCCAACCAAACACTCTCTACAATTCATCACGGCCGCCGAGGCGAGAGGGAAATGGGGAGGAGATCTCGAGCACGGGGGAAAGAATCGGGTTTGGACTGTGACTGGCAACACAGTATGTCCTGTTCCCATTCGTTTGCGTCCTTCTCACTGGTTCCAAGGTATTCATCAACGAGCCGGGACAATTTCTCAGGCATTATTACCATCTGTGTGCAGGTAATCTTGACCTCTCTGTCGGAAATCTGTTGATCATATCGGACATAGAATTGGTTATGGGTATACAAGCCATGTTGCTCGGCGCTGTTACTCCCTCGGTCACGGATGGCTCTCGCGACTTCCATTTTGAACCCATTCATAATGTCGATGCCCCTGCTCCCCCTCCCGTCGATCGATTTATATTCGCCCGCACGAATGCAGACGGCTGGCGAGATGATCCCGACTTCAACTCATATTTTATGCGCGCAGCTTTCCCCGCTTCCACAATTGAGGAGCGAGAGTCGTGGGAGGATCGTGTGCTGATAACTACTTCAGGCGACCGTGCCTGGCATTTTCCTCGACTCCTTCTCACCGATCGCAGTGCCGCCTACCGCAGCGAGCTTTGTGGACTAAAAACCCAGCGGATTGCGGCGGAACCATTCGAGGGATTTCGGGCACAAGGCAGAATTCTCGGACTACGGGTTGGTGGTTGGTGGGCACCGGTCCGCGAGGCAGTTCTCCGCTTTGCTGGAGCACCTCCTATGGAGGCAGTCGTGATAGAGGATGTTAACAGTCTCGCAACACCGTCAAAAATCGTCATCACCTACCTAAGCCGACAAGCCACTCCCAGGCGTCATTTAACGCCCGAGGGCCATCTTGGGCTCGTCGACGCCCTCGAAAAGCTGGTCGCCCGCAAAGGATCCAACTGGGAACTCAACGTTGTTGTCGCAGAACACCTCTCCAAGGACGAGCAAATCAAGCTTGCTGCTCGCACAACGGCAAGCTCTCCCGCAGCTTCTTATCGCGCAACGTGCTGACTTGCCTGGCAGATTCTGTTGGGCGTCTACGGAAACGGACTAACACACCTGCTCATGATGCGCCCGAACCGGTTCTCGACCGTGATCGAAATCTTCTACCCCAGCGGCTTCGCCCGCGACTACCAATGGCCCACACATGCCCTCGGGATGCGGCATTTCGCTGTGTGGAACGACACGTGCGTTTTTTTCTGGCCCAGCTTTTCCGTCATCTCACTATTGACCACGTTGTCAGGTGGTTAACTGACGGTATTGGGGACGGTATTCCATCCGCCAACTACCCAGAGGGCTTCCAGGGGGATTCCATCCCCGTCCATGGGCCTACTGTGGCGGACTTGATTGAAGACCGTGTTGAGGGCCACATAGAGGGAATATGACACAATTGTCATTGACAGATGTTCTGAAGCAAGCAAATCTCAACGAGTATGCTTATGTACTGACACGGAAATTCAAAAGCACATAATTATGATAGTCGTTGGACACAGGCTCATACCCAGCCCTCGTTGCAGAGCTAATCCGAGAGGCGGTATTTTAATCTAAAATAGTATCAGTTTTCGGGTAAAATCAAAAGGTGTGACAAATGTGACGGTTTTGGGGGGGGGTGCGCTCTGCAAGAGGGCTGGCGCAAGTAACCCGGACCGAGCACCGAAGCGGTGCAGTTATCCCCGGTTGGTCTCGCTCAACCAAATTGTCGCGCGTCGAGTACTGCGTCTACCCACCCATTCACCGAGTCTCCCGCGTCCGTCGACGCGTCCAACCCTCCGCTCCGGTCTCTGTACCGTCCGAGCCCACGTCCCGGAGCCCCAGTCCATCCCCACTGCCCCCCAAACCGACTCGATGACAAGCGCGGGGCATTGTCGAGGATGAAGCCCGTAGATTGGGCAAGGGAGAGGTTGGCACGGGCAAGGGGACCGCGTCGAGGACACAGAGAGCAGCCCAGGTGTCATGCATGTCATGGGCCATGGCGGTCGGCCACGCCAAACTCGTCTGCGTCACAGGCGCATCCGGGGATAACTGCACCGCTTCGGTGCTCGGTCCGGGTTACTTGCGCCAGCCCTCTTGCAGAGCGCACCTCCCCAAAACCGTCACATTTGTCACACTTTTTTTTGATTTTCCCCAAAACTGATACTATTTAGATTGAAATACACGCTCTAGGATTAAGCTCTGCAACGAGGGCTGGGTATGAGCCTGCGTTGGACATTGTTTTAACTCGTTCGCTTACTGTACATAGATAACTAGACACCGATAGAATCGACTTGCTAAATTTTCGCTGGAAAAAAAGACAAGAAGAGTGCGATAAGAATTCAAATATAAGATACAAGGAAAAAAAAGTACATCAACTCCTTCCCGTCGAGCCATTTGACACTTGCACCTTCTTCGCTGTCCCAATAGTTGTATTGTTTACCTGCATGGTGACTCAGCACACGAAAAACAGAAAAGCAACCAAGCAGGAACAAACCTTGGTCGCGAATCTCAGGGAGGTCAGCGATTCGTTGAGATGTGCTGAAAGTGGGGAGAGGTTGAGAACCATCTAGAAGACATCAGTATTGACATTAGCGGTAAAATAACAAGCCGCACCAAGGTCTTAGAGTTCCCGCTCAACGAGTTTTGCAAGAGATATGTGAGCTATTGAGAGAGTGAGAAAGGTCATTTTAATTATGATGATTGGTTGCAACGAGCCTTCGAATTCCGATAAGGAACGTGTGCTCCTGGCCCATTTCCCAGAGCAGCAATGACATCGCCCAAAGCACTCAAACTCCGGTTGATATTCTGGGTCTCCTTCAACCGCTCCTGGACCGCAGACCCACCAATGCTCTGTCCCAGGGCACCAGCATGGTGATTTAGCGCCGCAAGGCGTTCGCTGCCAGCCAAATCCACCAGGTTCAAGGTCCCAACGCGCTCAATTGGCTCCGCTCCAGGTTGTTGCTGTACTCCACGAATCCTGAGGGTAAAGACTGAATGAGAACGAGACGAGCGCTCGTTCATGATGGTTGCTGCAACTCGTCGGCGCTTCTGCGCTTGTGAGAGCAGAGACTGGACATGCGCAGGCGAAGTGACGACAGGAGTGATGCTGTCGCTGACGGTGGTAAGGTGGGTTGTCGGATGGTGATGGATTTCGTGTTTGCGTGGCGGATCACCAGGAGCAGGATTGGGGGAAAGTAGATCCGTGATTGTCTCGTTATACTGGCCCCAGGTTCAGATGTAGCTCAATAACAGTCGAAAACACGCACAATCTCCAAGAATTGACCCTCCATGGTGTAGGTCCATCCCTTGTCCTTCAGTTCGTCGGCAACACGGAAGACTTGAGCGACTGCACGAGGTATCATCCCCTCAGTCTCTTCAGTCTGAAATTTTTCATTAAACAGAACGAAAAATATCACACCAAAGTACTCACATTACCCCCTTCCATCGTCCAACTTTTTCCACTTCCCGTCTGTCCATATGCAAAAATACAGACATTGTAGCCGTCGGTGCAGCTCTGAGCAAGCTGCGATATTTCTGCAAAAAGGTCGGCTTGAGTAGATGCAGGGGTAAACACCTAGTCATTTTTCATCAACATCAACAACAGTAAATCGGGAACCAACTTACTCGGTCAAAGTTGAAGCTCCATACCTCTTTACGTGGCTTGTTTCCCATACCAGCGTCCCACTCGCGTTCAGGTCCAGCTGCGCTCATTACTATCTCCTTCTCGCCAGACGGATATGGTCGAGTTGCATCTGGATACGCGATTTGTGCCGCAGGACTTTCGCCATCTCCAGTTGCGTCCGACTCGGACGGGAGGATGGGTCTAACCCTGCAAAAGACGCGAATGTTGCCTTTCAATTCCATCACCATTTCGTGTAATCGCCTGCGCTCTTCTTCGCCCTGGGTAACCTCCTCTTTCATCGCACGCTTTTCCTCCTCCAACTCCGCTTTTTCTTGCTCCCATTCTTTTTGAGCGCGGTGCATTTCAGCGAGCTGACTCTCCAGAAGGGCGATGCGCAAGGTTGATGTGCGATGTTGCTCCATGGTTTGGGCCCCAGCGTCGACTGCTCCAGCAAGCTCTGCTCGAAGCTTTGTAATTCGTGCATCTTTATCATCGATCTCGTCCTTTGCCTCTCGTAGAAGTCGTTCTCCTCGACGTAAGCGGATGTCAGCCTCTTCTTGCTCTCTGGCCAGACTTCGGCGGACATCGCTGCATTCATCCTGTGACCTAGCCAGCGCAGATTTACCCTCCAAAACTTCCGCCTTAAGCGCGAGAATGTCCTTCTTGAAAGATTGTTCAGCGTCGTCCCTTGCACGGAGGAGCCCTTTAGCGGCACCAAGTTCGCCTTGAAGAGCGGCATTTTGGGCTTGGGCAGCGGACAGTTGATTGCTCGTGGATTGCAGCTGGGCGGACGTGCTCGCAAGCTGAACTTGGGCTGTGATGAGGTCGGATTGGAGGGTTTGCAGTTGTTCCTGCTGTGCTGCCGATGGAGCGGTTACGGAAATGGAGGTTGTTGCGACACGCTCGCTATCTTGAGTTCTGGCTTCCTCAAGAGTTGTTATCCGTTTGTGAAGGTTTGTGATGACATCGGGCGCTGCGACTGTGGGCTCTGGAGCGGAAACAACACGTTTGGCGGAGGTAGATGGGACACGGGAAGTTGGAGGCTTACGAGCCGTTGGAAGATTGGTCCCTCGCGCTGCAGCACTTGTGGTGGTTCGGGCAGCAATGGGGGCACGGGGGCGGGTGAGAGGAGGGGGGATCGCAGCTGACGGCTTTCGCGTTGTCGATGTGGATGAGGACGTAGAGTTGGTGGCATTACGCGAGGTCTGGAGGGGCCTTGGACGGAAACCCCCGGTTGCGCTGCTGGCGGGTCTCTTGGTTGGTTGCAAGGCATCAATGTCGTCCTCCTCAGGAACGACTTTGCGTTTCAGTGACGGAGCAAAACCTGCTTTGGGCTCGGGAGACGACTGAGGGCGAGGCAGGCGAGATGCCATACAGGCTTAATCGAGGATGGTCGACGAGGGCGACGCACAACGAATACGGAGTGGCTTGTTGATGGCGAAGAGCAACTTTGGGTGTGACCGCGCCGAAATGGCACGTGGACACAAACAAACAGCGACGACGAATACTTAACACCACGTCTGACCTGACTGGCGTCCAACAGCAGCTCGGCGACCAAGGTAGCTATTTCCGCTGTACAATCGACATGTTTCTGTACACAGACTTCGCGACACGAAATTATGGCGTTCTGTATTTGCTATGGACTATCTGTACTTTGAATGATCACTAATTTCCGATGTGCTAGTGAACGTTGCGCCGACAATCCTCGTATATTTGGACTGAGTCCTCTGTAGCGGCGAGGGACAGACCCGTGGCATAAGCAAAGACCAATGAATGGTCACCATCATCAGATCACACTCCCTCTTCAGCTTTCCCGTCAGCACCAGGTTGCACCCCACTCTTCTGTCCCGCCTACCCCCTTCTCCGGCGGCCCAAGATGATGACAAAGACCCGTTATGTCTTCGTCGCGTTGGCCATCCTGGTCCGTGTTCCTCACCCACAACCGTAATTGCTCACTGGCCACCAGATAAGTCTGCACTATATCCTCAGCTTCTCACACGAGGGCTACGGCAACGCGACCTCTTTGGACAGCATTAAAGCGACAATACAAGGTTTCCGTGGCCAGAAAGACACCGCAAAAGATGAGGTGGTGAAGGTTTGGCACGAGCCGCCCTACAAGACGCCAATACCCGCAAAATACTTCACCAACGAGACGAAACCTTCTCGCAAAGCCAATGCGGTCATCGTTAGTCTTGGTGCGTCAAACGACTTTCGGCTTCCTTACTCGCTGATGCTATTTTAGCTCGCAATGGCGACCTGAATGGAATTATTCGCAGCATGTCTCAAATGGAGGAGAAATTCAACCACCGCTTTGGCTATCCCTACGTCTTCCTCAATGAAGAGCCCTTCACGGAAGAATTCAAGCGCTCCGTGTCCTCGCTCACCAAAAGTCTCGTCGAATTTGGACTCATTCCCCACGACCACTGGTTCCAGCCTGACTGGATTGACGAGGCTAAGGCGACCAAGAATCGTGACTGGATGGTAGAGAACAACGTTATCTACGGTGGTATGTGGTGCCTCTATAGCTGAACTCACAGCCGACCGTTTTTTTTTTCAGGCAGCGTTCCTTACCGCAACATGTGTCGATTCAATTCAGGCTTCTTCTTCCGTCACCCCCTTCTCGACAAGTACCGCTACTACTGGCGCATGGAGCCCGACGTCCGCTATTTCTGCACCGTCAGATACGACCCCTTCCTTTTCATGCAAGACGAAAAGAAGAAATATGGGTTCACTATCTCCCTCCCAGAATACGGCGAGACCATCACAACTCTGTGGGATGCTGTCAGCGAGTTCGTCCGAGACCATCCCGAGCATGTGGTCAAAGACAATGCTATGGGTTTCTTGAGTGACGACGGAGGCGAGACCTACAACCGATGCCATTGTATGCTATTCTTTCTGATCCTCTTTCCTGTTACTAATCGTGGTAACAGTCTGGTCAAACTTCGAAATTGGTGACCTTGACCTCTGGCGCGGCGAATCCTACATGAAGTTCTTCGATTATCTCGACTCCAAAGGCGTTCGTGAAGACAACTTTCACTTGCTTGGTATCTCATATATCACAGGGCTTCTACTACGAACGTTGGGGAGACGCTCCCGTCCATTCGATTGGTGCCGCCCTTTTCGCGAGGAAAGACCAGATCGTGCGCAATTTCACATCTTTCTGCCTCTGCTAAAATTGCTTGTCGTTTAGCACTTCTTTGAAGACATGGGATACCGCCACGAGCCCTTCCAACATTGTCCTCAATCACCACTACATGAAGAAAACCGCTGCTCGTGTGATGCGAAAGAGAACTTTGGTGAGTGTCTGTCTCGTTCATGATCATCCTATCCTCTCCTGGTTGTTATGCGAGTTTATTCCGCCCATACATTTGGCGAGAAATTTTCCATCGGAATCTCGGCCGTTGCCCACTTCTCTTGGCATTTGCTTATTATCTCTGGCTTGACTGATCCCTTTCCCCACAGACCGCGAAGGCTGGTCATGTCTCAACCGTTACGACCGGATATTCACCTAGAATTTTCTTTGCTGTTGTCGCTGGCTGCATTGGGAGGGCATGGTGAGTCTGGTTTCTTTGCGATCTGCAAGAGGCTGATGTCTTAGCCAGATCCGCTCGTTTGATGGTACCGTAGACCGGCCAGGCACACACACGCACCTTTTGTGTCTGCCCAGTAATGTGCATGTACTTCGTATTTATACGCATACTCTGGAAAATCCGTCTTGAACCTGAATCGGAACACTTGGTAGATAGATAGACGACTCAGAATCTCAGATGAACGAAATATATCGCTGACTTGTGGGTATATGACTATTAGTCCACTTTCTGACTAGCTATAAGCTATATACTCTAGAATCTGTTTGGATGCTCAGACTGCGTTGAAAGCCACTGTCGGCGCTGATGCCTGAAAAAAAATTTCCCACAAGTCCCTTCCTACTACCTTGCCTACTACCATGGACCTACAGCTGATGAGAATCAACATCCTTCATGGGCAACAAGCTTGAGGACGACCCAGCAACTACGCTCCGAGATGACCTGGAGGGCGTGCTGAATTGGAATCCTCCACGTTTCAAGCCGCGAAAGACTGGTCCACCACTCCCTGTCCATCCTCTTCACTGGGCGTATACGCGGCATTTGGATAGCAAGCTACTACTACGGTCTGTAGCGCCCATAAAGTCGCTGGTGGACGATTTGTCCCAGTTGGCTCAAGCCCATCTGGACACATTCCTCGACAACAACGATCCATACCCGAGCCAAGCTTTCGGTTTCAATATGCGGCAAAGTGCAAGGGACTTGGGGCCAGAGCAACTAGCGGATAGCTATGCTGAAAGTTGCGGGAAAGTCTCTTGCGGAATTGCGACCAAGATCTTGATTCCGAAAATACGTGATTGGGGTGGCAGCGTTCGTTGGGGTCGGAGGATTCAGCTTTACGGGACTCCCCCTGGTGTTGACGACAATGGCCGTCTGCTATTCCTTCAAGACCAGACAGGAAAACTGCACCTATTTGGCGATCATTCAAAACTCATTGATCCAAATTTGCACCGAGATTTGGAGCGGGTTCTATCCTACACTCCAAACATTGGTACATGGGTCTTTCTTTCGTTTTCTCGAGAGTCAAAGGAACTGTTGCTCGGTATGGACCAGTTGGCCGCGAGAGGTAGCTTCAACTACCAACTGTGTCGAACCGTTGGTCCTGGTGCGAATGTATCATCCAATCCAGCCCCTCTAGATGCGGAGTCGACCCCATGGACACTTCCCACTTCAAGCAACAAACCAAGTCCCGTAAGGTGATTTTCCGCCTCTACATTTTATGCTCAACTTCTCAGGAAAGTGTCCCAAGAACGCTACGGGCCACAACAGTCGCTGTATCGAAAAAGCTGGAGGAGAGGGCGGCAAAACGAATAATTCCATCAGTCCGACGACGACCAGAAACGACTGCCCATGTCGCAACACCTCTGACATCTGAATCGCTCGTCCAACTCGTCAGGATCCGCGTTTTCGTTTTGTCCGAAACTTATCAAATCTTAGGCATGGGCCAAAGCTGTGGAGAATAATGCAACAATGATAGTTTTTAACTCCGGTAATCATGAACGACTTGCCGTCCGCCATCGAGGGACACAGACACTTTACATATCGGAACTGTACGAGATCGCCAAGTGTAAAGAGCCTGGCTATATCAAGCTCCATGTGGGCCTATATCTCGCACAGGTTTTTGATGCCATCGCTCGGTCCAAAGCTGCCAGCGAGCACACGGAACCTCGCAGAAGCAATCGGAAACGTCCAAACACGGAAAATACTACTACATCATCGCCTCCTACCAAACGCTTCAAGCAAAGCGCCGAGAACATTTCACCTGAGGTATGGTTTGGTCTTCATGTCCTATTGTGAGCTTGATGGTCGTATTAGCTCCCGATGGCGCTTGCCAGCCAGCGCGACATGATGTTACTGCATCTGCAGTATGACATTTATTATTCTCCCGCTCCGGCCTCGTTCTTTCGAACGACACAATGTCTTGTTCACAAGTCCAACCGACAACCAGCATACTCTACCCAGATTAAACGCTCTTATCAACCTTACGAGACTTTCGACATCGTTCTAACAAGCCGTATCGGTAGTGGCGCAACCGGGACAGTTCACGGAGCAACGGCTCGTATGACAACGAAAGACGGGCAGAGACTGACCGAGGAGAACCTGATCGTCAAAATGGCATTCAAAGAGCGGCCCCAACGACGAATGCGACACGAATACGAAGTCTATAAACATCTGGCGGAACATGGAGTTACTGGTGTCCCACGAATCTATGGGCTGTTTGAGGACCTCGAAGGAGGTGCTATCGCACTTGTTATGAGCAATTGTGGCCAGGATCTATGGCGGTTGCGTCCGGACAAATCAAAGGCACGGACGGCTGTTACACCCGCCCAGAGGTATGTCAATCGTGTTTTTGTTCGATTTCTGTCTCATTCTCATACTCTAGTAATCGGTTTACCGAGATTCTGGAGAACGTGCATCGCGCTGGGGTTCGTCATCATGATATTCGGGCCGAAAACCTCATGATTGACTCTGCCGGCGAAGCGTTTATCGTCGATTTTGATCGTGCGCGTTTGAATCCAAGTGAGGGTAAGAAGAAATGGGAGATGGACATTCTCCAAATGCTTATGGAGGGAATCCACCACGACTTCTCGATTGCTAGCCCTTTTATGCCAGGTGACGAGCAAGAAATATGGTCTCAGACGCCCGTCTCTGTGCGCTCCAGATTTTGGAGCGAGGAATCGGGAGAGGATTCAGAAGTGGACAGCCAGGAGAGTGAGGAAGATGCTGGTGAAAGGTAAGATGTACCGTAATTGGAGATGTTTCTTGTTGGTACATATTATGTAATGCTATTGGTCAATTTTTTTCCCTTTCCTTACCGTCATGATGTTGCGCACCCACACAAGGGCGAGTCATCCTGGTCAGACACATCATGGCACTGACCGACTCGGAAACCACATCGTCCGAGCCACGGGAAGATTTAGACGACATCCTAGACTGGAAGCCATCTTTCTCAGTAATATCCACTGATAGGCGTGCGTTGCATCCTCGTAACCCTCCCCATGCCATCTACAACAAGCATATCGACCAAAAGCTGCTCCTACAACGTGTCATGCCACTAGGCTCCTTGGTGAATGATATATCTGGGTTTGCTCAGGAGCAACTAGACTCCTTGATGGCGCAACTTGTGTCAACCGAGCAGGACATACTCCCGGGTGACGAATTGGCACAATTTTGCAATGAGTATGAAGAGCTCGACACATGCTGGCCGCAGGAGCTAGCGGAACGCTACCAAGAAACTTGTTCCTCTATCTGCGCCCGCATTGCGAGTAAAGTGTTGGTGCCAAGCATGCCTGGGTGGAAACCGAGCTTCTATTGGGGTCGATGGGCAGAACCAGACAGATATCCAACTGGGTTGGATGACAACAGTCATCTTTACTTTTCCAAGAATGACTCTGGAAAAATTCGCTTTTCAGAGGCCATCTCTGAGGCAATGGAACCAAGTTTGCGCGAGGATTTGGAACGAGCCGTCGCTTCCACCCCGAAGATTGGCACTTGGATACTGTTGTCTTTCACGGAGGGATCGGAGACACTTCTGGCGAAGATGGAACCGACATTGCTCCAAGAAACCTTTCGCTACGGACTCTGCGAAACGGTCTATCCTGTATTCAATTGGTCATCGAGGGTTATGCCCCGAGACGCGCCATCAAGGGCTTGGAAACTCCCCCCGACTGGGTTTGTGCCTGCGGTACGCGTTCTCGGAGTTTTGTGTTAGCAACTGAATACATGGAAGGGCATGATTGCGCGCAGAAATCTCCGAGCAAAAACGCTGGCTGCGTCGAAACAAAGTCGAGATGCTGCAGGACGAGTGGTCCCATCGGCTCGTAAACGTCCCGAAACAACTGCTTATGTCGCGGCCCCCCTAACACCCGAGTCACTTGTTCAGCTTGTGAGTGTAGTTATCGCAGAACTTCTTCGGCTCATGGAATAACAGGCGTGGGCTAAAGCGGTTGAGACAGATTCAACCATGATTGTCTTTAACTGCGGTAAATATGAACGGCTGGGTATTCGCCACCGAGCAACCCAAACGCTCTATCTTTCAGAACTCTACGACATCACCAACTGCGAACCGGGGTACATTAAGCTTCATGTGGGCATATACCTCGCGCAAGTTCTTGACGCCATCGCCCGGGCCAAAGCCACGAGCAACCATACGGAGCCTCGTCGAAGCAGTCGTAAGCGTCCAAACGCCGATGTCGTCGTACCGTTACCGTCAAATAAACGCTTTAAACGAGACCCGAAACAGGGTTCCTCACAGGTGAATGTCGGATTCAGCCGCTACCATATAAAACTGATGTCAATAAGCCCCCGATGGAGCTCGCCAGCCAGCGCGACCTGATGCTGCTACACATACAATACGGAATATACTATTCTCCGGCACCAGCATCGTTCATTCGAGCAACGCCGTGCCTTGTTCACAAGACGAAGACAAAGCGAAAAGCAGGATATTCTGCACCAATCAAGCGGTCTTACGAGTTTTACGAGTGTCTCGAGGTCGTCCTTACAAACCAGATTGGCAAAGGTGCAACAGGTACCGTTCACGGAGCAACAGCTCGTCTGGCTGCCAAAGACGGACAGACGTTGTTTGAGGAGAATCTCGTCGTCAAATTAGCTTTCAGGGAGCAGCCCCAGCGACGGATGCGTCACGAATATGACATCTACAAGCATCTGGCAGAACATGGCGTCGCTGGTGTTCCCCACGTCTACGGGCTATTTGAGGACCTCGAAGGAGGGGCCATCGCACTCGTCATGAGCAACTGCGGGCAAAACCTGTGGGATTTGCGTGAGGACAAAAGCCACTGACGCCTGTTGCTCCGGCCCAGCGGTATGTCAAAGGATATTTGTTCTCAGACTTCTGTCTTGACTCTTATGTATGTTCCTTCTCCAGAAATCGCTTCATTGAAGTTCTCGAAAATGTCCATCGTGCTGGAGTTCGGCACTGCGATATACGGGCCAACAACCTCACGATTGACCCTGCTGGGGAAGTGTTCATCGTTGATTTTGACCGTGCACGTCGCAGCACTAGCAAAGGGAGGAAAAAATGGGAAATGGACGCCTTGAAAGAGCTCATGGATGGACATGACGACTTTTTTATACGGAGCCCTCCACTTTCAGGAGACAATGAGGAAATGTTGTCTCTAACGCCGCCTTCTAGGTACTCAGAGCAAATAGAGGAAGAGTAGGTGGGTAAATCGGTCCACGTAGTCTTGATAGTATGAAGTTGTGAACCATTCGTCGACGATCAAGGGAGTACTGTAAAGGAAATTACAAGGAAACATGTTTTGTTCCTGTGATCACCATTTGTCGTAGTTTGTTTATTTGTGTTTTGTTTGCTGGTTGATCATGACCATCATTATCCCCTCGCCCACAATGCTGACAACTGTCCTGACGAGTTGCATCCGATCCGATGGCAGAGTGTTCCACAGGCTGGGGGGGCTCGGAGATTAGCAGAGAAGAGCTTGCTAAAGATTTGGATGCGATACTCGGCCAAAATCCTCCTACGTTGAGGGAGAGGTTTTCCCGACGCCATCTACCTATTTCTACCCCCAAGTTACCAACACACGCTTTCTACAACAAGCATATTGACAAGCAGTTGATCCTCAAGCGCATCTTGCCGCTGGACTCCTTGGCTGATGACATCTCCCAGCTTGTATCCAACGCTCTGGCTGTCGCACTGGAGAATACATCCTGCGATCAGCTGCCAACGGAAGCCTTTACCAGCTATTTGGAGGCGACGTCCTATGTAAAACCACCGACCGCAGAAAACATCGCGGAGCTCTACGAAGATGGCATCGCCCGGGCCTGCGACAACATAGTAACTAGGCTGCTAATTCCAAAGCTGCGGCAATGGCTACCGAACGTGCACTGGAGGCGACGCTTAATCCCACCACCAGAAAGCAACAGTGGCATCTACGACAACGCCAACTTGTTTCTTCTATCGCGCGAGGGAATGGTTGCACTCCCTGATGGCCACCGAGAGTTAATCGACTCATCTTTGTATGAAGATCTTCAGCGGGTCGCAACATCTGTACCAGGGATGGGCAGTTGGATCTTCATGAACCATTCCGAACACTCCGACTCTTTACTAGCCGAATTGGACAAGTTTTATCTCGATGACGAATTCCCATACGAGCTCTGTGGCACCACCGGTCTCGAAAACGCATCTTCCTCTCCGCAACCATATGATGCACTACTCGCGCCTTGGACCCTTCCATCAGGTCTCGGAGCGCCTCCAGTGAGTAGCAGAATCCATCAGAATCCATCAGAATCCATCCTGCATATCTCATCTTACTGTCAGGTATCGAGTTCCAAGCGCAAGTTACGTTCACGGGTACAAAAAATACCGCCTTCGAGGAGCATAACACCGTCGGCTCGTCGCAGAAGCGAAACAACTTCGCGAGAGGAAGTACCACTAACGGCTGCAGCGCTTTTGCAATTGGTGAGCTTTCTATTTGGAAATCGGTTGCGACTTAGCGCGATTTTTTCTAGAGTTGGGCGCGTGCTGTGGAGACCGACTCGACCCTGATCATAATCAACTGCGGTGACCATGAACGAGTTTGCGTTCGCCATCGGGCCACTCAGACGCTCTTCATGTCTCCAATGTTCAACATCACTACATGCAAAGACCCTGGCTATCTCAAGCTTCACGTCGGCATACATTTAGCCCTGATCAAAGATGCTATTGCTCGTTCCAAGCCTCCTCCCAAGATTATTTCACCTCCTGCAGAACCTCGAAGAAGTCCCAGAAAGCGTTCTCGGCCTGATACAGAGGAGACGACATCCCGGCCGCTAGCCAAGCGGCACAAAGCCACACTTGATCCCGTCAAGACCAATATGGTATGTTTACTTCTGTGTGTACTGCTTTTACTAACTTGAAATCAGTCCACCATGTCTCTCGCCAGCGGACGCAACATGCTTCTCCTCCACATACGTTACGACGTTTACCACTCGCCGGCGCCTGCTTCGTTCATTCGTGCTGGGCCATGTCTGACTCACAAATCGAAATGGAAAGATGGAAGGATTCCCGCAATCAAGCGTGCCTATCGACACGACGAGTATTTCGAAATAATACTTGGACGCAAATTGGGTGACGGAGCAACCGGAACTGTCCACACTGCCATCGCTCGAGTTTCAAGCAAAAATGGAGAAATCATTCTTCAGGACGATCTTGTTGTCAAACTCACCTTCAAGCGTCAAGATCAGGCTCGTCTGCGCCACGAGTACGCTGTGTATTCCCGCCTCGCTGAGCACGGTGTCATGGGTGTGCCACAGATCTATGGGCTGTTCGAGGATCTTGAAGGCGGTGCGATTGCCTTGGTCATGAATAACTGCGGGCAAAATCTATATGCCTTGCGACCAGACAAGACAAAGTTCAGAATCTCTGTCACTCCGGCTCAACAGTAATTCCTCTTCTCGTCTCGCATGTCTTCAACTGAAGTGCCATCACAGAGATCGCTTTAAAGAAATTCTCTCCAGCATTCATCGTGCGGGAGTGCGACACTATGATATTCGTGATGCCAACCTTGTTTTAAATGGCAAAGGAGAGGCTTTCATCATCGATTTCGACCGCGGACGGTTTAATCCGAGTGAAGGGAAGAAAGAGCGGGAGATGGACATTCTGCAAGAGTTGATGAACGGAATACCTCACGATTTCTCAATGCCTAGTCCGGAAACGCCTGGCACTAGGAACGAGATCTGGTTACGCACTCCGACACCATCTGAACATTCAAGTGACCAGGAAGATTCAGACGAGGACTGCGAGTCTGACGCAAACTCGGATGCGAGGAGTGGATCGGATGATTTGCTACTGTAACTGGTTAATTACTTCGTCTCGCTCAGTCAGTATCACAGCTGTTACCACAAATGAGATTTGAATAAAATTGAGAATTGAGTTTTCTTGCATTCGGCCACGTGAGCGCAATCATCTTTGAATCATCTCCACATTTAACCCATGGCGACGGCGGCAGCGAAAGAAAGTTACTTCCACCCGTACTTCGACGATGCGACTGCGGATGTCCTGCTCCAGTCCTCTGAAGGCACACTATACCGTGTCCATAGCTTCATCTTGCGAAACACGTCCGGATTCTTTCGGACCATGCTCTCGCTTCCCCAGCCCATCCAAGACGATATCAAGCCCTCGAGGAAGCAGCAAGAAATACACACTGGCGATTCCGACAGCGTTATGGAGCGCGTTTTGCGAATGATGTGTGGCCTTGAAATTCCGCGTTGGGAGTCTTTTGACGAGTTCGAGGCTGTTCTGGAGCTCATTGAGAAATGGGACACTCCTGGTCCGTTATCCTTTGCACGCACTGCGCTGCCATCACCCATGTTCTCGGACGAGCCATTGCGAGTCTATATCCTTGCCACCCGATTCGGATGGCAAGAGGAGACTGCATCTGCGTTGGTCCAAACCCTGAAGTTGGACCTCCTAAGCGGAGAGTTCGACGCGATGCTATGTCGGCTCTCGTCAAGGAGCCTGCTGCAACTTGTTACCTTCCATGACCGATGCAAAGCCAGATTTCGGATGTCCCTCGATGGCACTGACCTGTTCGCTGCAGGGAATGAGGAGCCGCGAGAGTGTTCATGCGGAAAGCGACGCGACAACTACCCGTGGCGAATTCTGAAAGCCAAGGTCTTGTTTTGTCCGCTCCTTTACCGTTTGGCTCAACCTTTTGGTCCTAGATCATCTCGGAGTTCAATCGTCGACCTCTAGGGGACCGGATTCTCGTTGATATGGCAGGCTGGCCTGAATCTGCAGCATGCTGGCGAGCCAAATGCCACTGCGGCAACATGTACTACGACCAAGTATCGACCGTGGCAAATATCAAAGCCTGCATAACGGCCGCGTCCCAGAAAGCATCAGAAGGACTTTGACTGGACATAAGTGTGTACAAGCATTTGTATATGTAGCATCAATAATTCTTATCTGTCAAACCTTCTCTTGACCATCATGGTGTTCGCACTCCTTCCTTACACATCCGCACAAACCTCGCTTGAAAAAGCTTATACGGCTGGATAGCGTTCTCAAGGAGCGAGAAGGATGGCTTCAAGACGTAAGCTTCATTGGTCTACTAGCTCCACGCAACGATGGCGGCCATTTTTTCATGGAAACCCTTCGCCTACTTCGCCCTTTTCTTCGCCTTTACCCTTACTCCTCTCGTCACAATCGCTGGTCGCCGCCATCGTCGTCTTTTCTTCTTGTCCATTCTCCTTCTCACTGCAAAAGTCCAGTACGATGGCGAGTTGGGATACACAACCAACACAACTTGGTTTGCATGCCTTCTAATGGCGTCGGACTTTCTCCTCCTCGCCGATGTGCAACTCGAGCGAGAATTACATCGCCCAGAGGAGGGCAGTGGGAGACGATGGAAACAAGGGACTGGCTTTCTGGATGAAAAGACACTCCGGCAACGCTTCGTTTGGGCATTAGACCTACTCTTTACAAGCGGCAGAGGCGTTGGATGGGCCTATCAACCTCGCCACTTGCGACCACAGCTCCCAGATATTCCCAAATCCACCTTCCTCATTAGACGAACCCTCCTGCTACTGTTCATCTTCCTCACCCTCGACTTCGCCAATGCCCACCAGCACTCGAATCCGGTGTTTTGCGCAAGATTAGGGCTGGTGAACGCAGGCTGGCTATGGCGTCTCACCGGGACTGCTTGCTGGGCAGCTCTTGCCATGAGTGTTTTGTCAATCCCTCATCTATTACTCGGCATCGCTGCCGTTGGCTTCGATATATCTCGACCGCGGGACTGGCCACCATTATTCGGCAGGCTTGAAGATTTGACAAGTGTGCGGGCATTTTGGGCGTGAGTCTGCCTCTTAGTTCTTGTTAAATTTTCGCTCACCTAACATATTCTCCAGACGAGGCTGGCATCAATATCTCCGCCGGGTATGCAGAATCAATTTTCCAGATCCTCTGGTCATTCAACAATTACAGTCCCTTACCGCTCACGGACGGTACCTTGCCAATTCAGTCCTGAAACTCCCTCCCCGCTCCCTCTCAACTCGTTGCATAGTCATCTCCACCGCCTTTTTCCTCTCGGGACTCGTTCATCAACTCGGCGAGCGCGTCCCTCTCAAACGTGTTGGTTATGGTCCTGGCGGCGGGTCTCTCATGTTCTTCTCCCTCCAGCCACTTGCCATTGGTTCCGAAACGCTTGTTTCGCTTTATTTTCAACGCACATCACTGTCCCCGGCATGGCGCCGAGCCCTTGGAACAGCTTGGGTGGCTGCGTGGTTTGTGCTGACATTGCCGATAATGCAGGACCCGCTGTTGCGAACAGGTGAGATGGACCCGAAATTCCACACCAGTTTTGTCACGTGGGTCTTGGGAACGGGATGGGATTTGGAGCATTCGCGAATCTGCTTGTTCGAGTAGTTGAGATTGGGTATATACTATCACGCAAAACTGAGTACCCCGTATAAAAACTCTCAGCATGTAATCAAGTGGCAGATTCATTCGACTCGTCTGTCTCATCAGTGTCTTCGTTACTAGTATCAGTCGCCGGCCAAAACCTCCTTGGTTTGGGGGTATCTTCGTCTGATTCCTCGGTCGGTGTCGGAACTGGCGAGCGTGGCCACCACTCCTTGTCGTCATCCGGGAACTTGGGACTGGGCATGGAGAAGTCATGATGCCCACCCTCCGTTACCACATCCATGATCTCCATTTCCCACTTCTTCTTTCCTTCGCTAGGCTCGAACCGCCCCCGATCGAAATCAACGATAAACGCTTCCCCATCGGTGTCGATGAGTAAGTTTTCCGCTCGTATGTCGCAGTGTCTGACGCCGGCACGGTGCACGCTGGTCAGTATCTCGATAAATCGAGCTCTGCAGAGGGGTTTTAAAGAAGAATTTACGGTATAGGAACTAAACTCACCGTTGAACAGAGGTGATTACAGTCCTGGCCCTTTTTTTATCAGGTCGCAAGTCCCAGATAGTTTTGCCGCAGTTGTTCATGAGGAGCGCAATCGCGCCGCCCTCCAAGTCTTCGAAAAGGCCATACACTTGCGGCACACCTGTAACGCCATGTTCCGCCAGACGTTGGTAGATGGCATATTCGTGGCGCATCCGCACTTGCTGACGTTCCTGAAATGCGATTTTAAGGACGAGATTGTCGTGCGTGAGAGCGCTTCCAGCCTTCGTGACTACTCGTAGATTGGCACTATGGACAACGCCAGTAGCCCCATCACCAATCTGAGAGGTCAGGAGAAGTTCGAAGTACTCCTCAGGTTTGTAGGAGCGCTTGATTGGAGGCTTGTAATTTGGTTTTCGTTTCGTTGCATGCACAAGACACTGTGCAGCACGGATGAAGGAGGCCGGGGCGGGGGAGCAGTGAATGCCATACTGCAAAGTGAGAAACATCATGTCGCGCTGACTAGCGATGGCTATTGGTGGCTAAAACCCATACATGAGAATGGTTGTGGAAAAACCAATGTGAATCAGGTTACCAAAGGTTTCTCCCTCGTTTTTATAGACATCTTCTGTCGCTTTTTTGCTCGTGAGTCGGTTGGGTCTGGATTCCGCCTTTTTCGAGGGCTGCGTCGAATCGGTGCCGGGGTTCTTTTGGCTTCTTTGGCCCGTGCGATGGCATCTAGAGTCATTGCGGTATAAGTCCCAACCTGTAGCTGGATGTACCCCGGGTCTTTGCAGGCTGTCACGTCAAACACAGGAGATATAAAGAGCGTCTGCGTTTCACGATGACGAACACAGATGCGTTCGTAGTTGCCGCAATTGAAGACAATCAAACTTGAGTTGTTTTCCGTCGCACGAGCCCATGCCTTTCGTTGTTAGAGACGATGCAACATATTCGCTACGACGCTCACCAATTGCACCAATCCTTCAGCCGTGAGAGGTGAAGGAAGATGCGCTGTCGTGTGGGGTCTCCGACGAGCAGAGGGAACACTGCGAGGTTTTTCGTTGTGTGTGGTCTCAGATCGTCTGCTTTGGTTTCTGGGACGGAGATTTTTGTTCGACTGCTACTTCTTGCGTGAGGGATCGGACACAGTATTTGGGCGAGTTCTCACCTCGCTATCGATAAACGAAGCACTAGCAAGTAGCTTGTCGGGTATTGACCACGGCACAGAGGCGGCATCGCGAGGTCGAGTAAAAGTGCTTTCCGTCTGACTCGAATGTACCGTCCGACAGAGTTTATACGGAAACGAGGTTTCGGGAAAGTGATCTAAATCGGCCAGCAACCTCTCCGATTCCGGACAAAGCGACAGGTGAATCCACGTTCCCAGTTTAGGCCCGAATGCTGCTAATCGTTGCCAGTCGGAGAGCCGGTCGCCCAGGAGCTCAGCGTGTCCGGGAAAGAGGGTGATATTGCGGTCTTCTTTGTCTGTCAAAACATATAGACATGCATGCTCTTCCACACCGGTAGCAGCTAGTGTTCGATCAGCGGTTGTGAACCGAGCCCAACAAACGCTTGAACCCCAGTCTCTCGATTGAGGTATGAGAAGCTTGGAGGCAATAGCCGTGCATACCTCCCCAATCGATATGGAATAGTAATCCGCAATTGTGTCCGCGCCGGCAATCTCCCTTCGGGGGCGTGTTTGAAGGTGTGTTGAAAGCTCTGTCGTAGGAACCTCCCCAAGTTCATCGGCGGTGATACTGTCGACAAGTTTAGTAGCCGTTTGAGACAAATTTTCGACGAGAAACGGCAGCGACAACACGCGTTTTAAGATAAGCTCTCGGCGGAGGTGTTTATTATAGAAGTGGTGTGGAGGGAGAATGGGCGGTGGGGCACGAATTGCAGGATTGGTGGAGGCGTGAACCTGAGCAGGACTCCAAGAGAGCAGAGTTCCTAGTTCGCCCATAGTCGATATTTCCGGCGCTTCCGAACATGTCATGAGCAAAGGGTTAACGTGTGAACATGATGGAAAGTAATTGATCGCACGTGTAATGCCGCGTCAGGCTCGAGTCGGACTACGAGTAACTTAGCAGTTACTTGCCAGTGCTATCCAAACAAAGCAGACCGAATTCAAACAAGCATTAACAGTACTCATGTGACAACCAATCATCGATCTCCAGTTGAACAATAACAACAACAGCAACGGAGACAAGGGCAAGACAACCTTGTTCTTTTTGTTGATTGCCCCCATATAAGAGGCCCCGGGAAGCTCCACTCAAGGCTTGTCCGAAATTTGAGGTTTTTGAGGGCGGAAAATGGCGATTTCCTTGTCCGAATTTAAGGTTTTTCAGGCGGAAATTTTGAAATCCTTGTCCGGTTTTGAGGTTTTTCAGGCTTCTTTCTGGTCAGACTGGTCAGTTCATTCCTTGGTTCACTCGGCTCACAGGAAAATATTCTTAGATGAAGGCAGGCACAATGTAAACTGCGCCATCTGTGCCTATCATCGCAAAGTAAAGTCGAAATTCTGACCCAAGTATCGAATTTGGTTGGTGCCATTTTCCCACAAAATTTCCCCTTTTGGAAAGCACGTGATGACCCTTGTCCAATTTCAGGTTTTTGAGGCCCAAATCGTAAGGTTTTTGAGGCCAAAATTGCTGATTTTCTCGGACAAGGCTTTGGTGGAGCTTCCCGGGGCCTCATATAAGAAGGCGTGTTTTTGGCATGCTTGTAACTTCTACCCATCAAAGTTTGCTCTTACTGCGCTCAACCTCTGAATCAGGCCCACACATACAGATAAAATGTCTAGTCTCAGTGTTAACCTCAAGGATCTACTGCACAACTTTTTGTTGGCCAAAGCACCAGAGTTTTATCCTGATGCTCATCATACCAAATCAACTAGCACCCGGTCCCCAGGATTTTGGGACATACATCTGCACCCCGACCTTCAACTCAAACATGTCAAATACCTTCCAGGATTTACAGAGTCTCTGGTAGCAGTATCCTCAGAAGCTGCCTTGAAATTCCAGGTCTCTGCTGATAATGAACCCAAAGAGATTCCCAGCTTTCTGCAGGAAGAAAAACGGCTTAATTCTAATGAGAAATTCCTGAAGGCTTATCCAATTCGATCTGAAGCTGATCTTACCCAGCATTATCAAGCAACAACAGCTCAGTGGTGTATGAAAGCTGCAACTATGCTTGAGCTCCATCTGATAGACAATGTCTTGACTGAATGGGGAATACGACAGGCTAATACATCAGAACAAGCTGTTGGAGATGGTTATTTCAAGATCCCAGAAATATTGCTACCACCATCAGCAGATCAGACTGAATCATCTACAGCTCAGAGAGCAAGAAGACAACTTGAAACTAAATGGAATGATTTGCAGGAAGTACGAAAGTACTTTGCTGATCTTGCTGTATGGGAGTTTAAAAGCTTCAAGGTCTCAGAAATTGTTTCTGCTGAAGCAATACTTTCTCTAACAACAATTCAAAATTTTCCATGGCAAGATTGCCAACCATATGAAGCTTGTCTCTTTGATCATGTGCCAAATCATGCTGCAGGATCAGAATTTCCTCATACAGGACAATTGACTGCAGGGGTACGAATGGGCCCAGATCTTCCACTACATATGCTGACAGCATATGGATTGGAATTGAATACTGGAGGTAAATTTTATGGAAACCATTTTAATCATTTCCCTATCAAAACTCAATGTGATATCATACATATAGTCCAGCAGGTGAGTTTATTGAGACCAAATTTAAACTAATTATACTGACAGAACATTCTAGATGTGGAGCCAACTTACCTTGATTGATGCCACATTTGGTATTATACATGGAGGCTCACATGAAATTGTTTGTCTTCGTCATCGTGAAACACAAACACTGTACTTGTCTGGTCCTGTCCAGCCTTGCTCAGATGAGAAGTATTTTGCAATGGAAACTGGGGTATTCATGTGTATTCTCCGAGAAGCAATAGAGCGCTCAAAACATGTTGATCCCAAAAGTCAACTATGGCAAAGACAATATGATAAACAGCCCAGACAGTATATTGGCAGCAAGTCATCTAGGAGAAATGAACATATACAGGTATGTTGAATTGCTTAATCAGCTTCTTAGTTTGACCATACATAGATCCAACCTAAGCCATCAGAAGTATTTACAAGACAATTTCTTACCTTCAAGATAAAGAACAAAAACTCTCATGGATCTTTACCATTCAGTATTGGATCCAAATATGAGCGATGTTCAATTGACTTGGATCATCTGCAAATAGTTTTTGCAGACAGTATAAAGGAGTATAGCGAGAACTCCCAAGATTCTACTCAAAGCTCTCAAACTTCTGACTGGCAGCCATCTCAAGCTATTCTGCGTTCTGATATCGTTGTAGCAACAGTCAATACCAGGGAAGATCTTCCTGACTGTATACAACATGCATATGATAAATGGTATGCAGAGCTGACAGTAGGATCAGTCACATATTCTCATCGGATCATCTTTAAACAAGCCCAGAGCCACAGAGAAAAGGCTTTCTCAATATGTCAAGAAGCATATAAATATGATCTTCTGAAAGGTCCTGGTATTCCCCAACTTCTTGGTCTCTGGAGACAGGTAGACCAGGAAAATAAGAAAGCTTTAGCTTTCTGCTTAGCTTTGGAAGATGCAGGAAATCCTTCTAATATTCAAATGTTAACCAAGGCACAAAAGTGAATAAAATTTTACTATATTTCAGAATTATACTAATACAAATATTATAGAAAAAAATTCCTTCGGATTCTAGATACAGTCCATCAAAAGCATGGCTATATTCATGGAAACTTGAAGCCAAGAAACTTATTGCTCTATAATGAGCTTCCAAGAATCTGTGGCTGGAGTCATGCACATATAGCTGAAAATGATGCTGAGAAGGAATCTGATCGACAAACACTACACAATTTGCTATATCCAGACTTATTGTCATCTCCAGCAGTTAAACAGCGCAGTCAAAGTAAGATTTGGCTTGGCCCTATCAAGGAAGCTGTTATATCAAAGGGTAAAAATGCTGCTCTGAAATATTTCCAGCATATTGTAGGAATAGTAGGACAGCTAAAGAAATTCACCCTACCAGTATATGGGGAAGTTCAAGTGTCATTTCAAGTTGACACAGAAGATGAAAAGACAATCAATGTTCTTCATATCAAATTTGCAAATGGGAAAAGGGCTAGAACTTTTATTAAAGAATGGAACAGTCTAGATGATTCTATCCGGGATGGTATAATTGCTAAATTCCTGTAGGAATTAAAACATATACTATAAGTTTTGATATCATATATGTTTCTTAAATATGTATACAAGGACTGTATTTATTGCTGCTGCCAAGTTGTATCTCAGATATGATATATATATATATATATATCCAAATGTTGGACATAGAGTAAATATGCAGTGAGTTAATGCCTCTGAGCACAAGGTCCTGCTTGTTCTCCTTAATAAACCAAAGGCAAAACTCGGAGAGGAATAAGTTCTAGGTAGAAAGGGGGGTTTTGCTCCCATAACATTCTGCCACTTTTTTTTAGCAGAGCTTATGTCATTTATTGTATAGAGATTATATAAGCATGCTCATTCTAAAAGTAAGAACTTTTATTCTTTAAGTATTTTCACAAAGTGTCTAACAGGGTTCTTCCTATGGCTAAACTGAGTGTTCCTATTTGAGAGTTTGACTCCTTACTCATTTCTTCCTATAGAGTAAGCCCATCAAATTAATGTCCCAAATTGGTGGTGACTAGGCCAGCTGTACCATACAATTTCCAAAAATAGCAATTCACTGTAAACATGTGACTGAAAAGCCTCCTCTAAATATGATCTAATAGAGAGATTCTGATGGTCTACTGTTCTCTGGCATTACATGATATTTGTACAAAACCATACTAGGAATTTTCACAAAAATAGAGGCCCAAAGCAGGACTGTTTTGCAGAAAAACTAGTGCCAAATGTGGTCAGCCAATTGGACTTAGATCAAGGCCACAGATTTCCAAGCACATAACTTAGGAATTATCAAATAAGGTAATTTCTGAGTCATGTGTGCCAAAATCAGAGCTCATAATTCATGTAAAAAATTAGCCCCAATTATTCGGGCCCATATCTGCCACAAAAAAGTCCAGCATCTAGCCATTTTTTTTTTCACTGAAACCCCAATGTGAACTACTGTAGCATTCTGTGGGGGTGAAACACCCAGAGGGTGCGTTACACCCTGAAACACCCAAATAAGGCAATAGTTTGACAGTTTTCTGTCAAATAATTGCCTTATAAGGAAATAGTAACGCTTGAAACAGGTCCCCCGTTATGCGTTATGTTTCACCCCCACAGAATGCTACAGTATGGTTGAAAATGCTGAAAGTTTGTTGGAGCAGGACCAAATATTATAATATAATAATAATAATAATGATAATGATAATAATAATAATAATAATAATAATAATAATAATAATTTACATTTATTATTATTATATTATATTATGGATATATTATGCTGTGGAGGACCATATTATAATATTATTATAATATTATTATATATTTGGCATAATGATATCATATTAGGCTAGCACTAAATGAAATCATATCCGTGGACACAGTATTTGGCACCAGTCTGCAAAAAGAAATGGATGTGATGAACTTGTTATAACAAGTGAAATTATTAATATGCTGCTTATTACTATGATTGTGTATACGTTTGGAATATAAATTATTGTCCTTCTGTGGAACTTATATAGTATTTAGAAGTACTCCATACATATTTAGAATACATATAGCAGTTCCCTTTACCCATTTGGGATCACCAGGGCCGATTCAATCGTCAAGTTAAGATACGAGGCAAAACATGAAACCCCATTCGACACAACCACCACCAGAAAACGCACACACGCACTTACGCCGGTCTGCCGTCACAGCTCGCCGGATGCGTCATGTGGGGCTGGGAAGGCGCTCTGGGGTAGCATGCTACTCCATCATCACCACCTCCCGACC